TATGGGGGTGGGGGGGGGGGGGGCGCGCAAACGTCATCGTCGTGGTTGACGATGAAAGTACGCACGACGTACGTATTACAACCGCCGTGTTCGCGTTATCGTTAACGTGACCCACACTCGAACGATATTTACATGTGATATTCAAAAAATGCACGAATCGCTTGCTGCTCAAGCCGCGCATTTAGATGTGGCGCCCGTCAGGGGGGCAGGGGGGATCTCTGGCTGACTACAAGCTACACGTACACGTGCACCGCCGGAACCTCGAATCCACGGTGTTAAACGGGATGTATTTTTGGTTGGAGCTTTTGGCGGATTGGTTTGTGGTTTTGGTCGTTCTTTCTATTTTATGTGCGCGGACGTATACATGGTACCATTTGCATCACACGCTCACGATAAACGGAACAAAAGTGGGCGTGTTTGTAGTTTTTGTAGAGGGCGTGCGTTGTTGTTTTTTCGTGTCGGAGATGTCGGAGATGAATCACTCAATCATGCTCGTGTGGGCCAGGTGCCGTTCCCACCCCTCCCACACCGCAAGTACGATTATTTGGCCTGTTGACAAAGGTGGTCTTGGGCCGTTTTGATTTGGTGGGCTGCGTGTTTTTTTGTCTGTCTCTTGTCTGGTTTGTAAAGCTGGCGCGTGTCTGCGCAGATTTTTTTTTTCCTACCCCCAACGAGGCTGCGTTGTGTCACACGCACACGCCTTGTCCTCCTACCTGCCGTTGTTGAGCTACAGGAACGTGAGCGACGGCTAGGCTGTAGGTGGCCGGCGTGGCGTAGTGCTATCCCCTCTTCTATTGGACCAACATGAATATGTTGGAAGAGGCAAGTTCGCACGTTTATCGCCAGGGGGCAAGACTCAAGGTTTTTCTTGTAGTAGGCGGTTTCGCGGAATTTGTAGCGGGGCAAGAAGTGTCATCTTCTTTTTTTGTCGGGTGCCTGCTGTACCTTCACGCAGCCATCCTCTTTGTCTCCAGCAAATCTTGGTATTATTAAAGTCGATCTTTTTTGCTGGTGAAGGGAGGGGCTGGTTCCATACAATGAACGAATCACGTGTGTACTTATAGGAGATTCCCGGTGTCGCATGTCAGAGCAGAGTTCTTCACTACGACCTGGACGGGTTGTCCGCTGTCTCATTGCAGAGTGCTTTACTAGGGTAAGACTAATACCTCCTGGGCGTGTGGTGAGGTGACGATGACGACGACTATAAACTACGATTGTCTTGCCAGAGTCATTTTTGATTCTCTTCTTGGTCCCTAGTGCCTCGTTTTGCTTCCACCCTACCGGCCTTCACCAAAGTGGATAGCGTTAGTTCGTGTGTACACAGAGGGAAGAGAGTGCTGAACTCTTCTCGCAATAAAAATTGAAGGCGAAGTACCGCAGGAGGGGAGGGTAGAGGGAGGCTCTTCTGTGTGACCACGGGTTGGAATAAACGGCACTAGTGCTGTGAGCGCTGATCTGAAGTGAAGAACAAAAAAAAAAAAAAAACTCTCCCACCCCTAACCTATCCGTCCTCTCGGTTGAACGACTTGAAGTAGGTAGCTGTGAGTGACACTAACGCCCCGCACGCACGCACGTGTTAAACAGGAGCGCTACATCATATACTACTGCTTGGCCAACACAAACATCAGATTACAGATAGATCACCTGCAACGCGAAGTTAGAGACGTCCACGCGTTGAAAAAAACATGCAAGTGTTTCGAGCTACACACGCGTCAGGCGTCAATGCTACACAGCCCTCACGGGTTTCAGCTTTCAAAAGTTGCAGGTTCTGTCGCGCGCTGGTACAGTTGTACGCGAGCTGACTCCAAATGGGATTTGATTTGTCCACGCGAGCTTCTTGGAGCACCCGAACCTGTCAGGCTTAGCGTACTTGGTACGGCCTATGCATATGGCGACACGAACGAGACCCGTCGGACCATGAAATCAAATAATTGTGCCCCGTCAGCGTACGTCTACACAAATACCCGGCCGGGTAGCCCCGGCTTCAACTCAAGCCCTAATCCTGTGTTGTGCCACAGCGGCTTCCTTGGCAGGTGAAGCATGGACGTTTTCTTTTCTCGTGTCGGGTGTGATGCGAGTTGATCTCTGACGTCCGTCATGAACAAGGACTATCTCAGCCAAAATCAATAAAGGCTCTCCTTCATGAGACATAGAATCATGTGGAAAACGCAGAAACCGTGTTCGCTCACCGTTGTTCCCGCCTACAGACACTTATCAACAGACCCGGCTCAATGAAACGTTTTTTCGGGGGGGGGACCAACTACTACAACGTACTGCACTTTGGCATTTCTGCCGTGTAGCAGCTCCAATCCGTGGTCACATAGAAAGGGTTCTTCCCCCCCTAAGGTCCCATACCCACCCCTCCTGCGGTGATTTGCCTTCGATTATTAACGCGAGAAAAGTGCAACACTCTTTTCCCTCAAACCGTTGCGAGGCCAAAAATGCTCTTGGGAGATTGGGAGATATGGTTGGTAGTTGCTTCGAACATTTTGGGAGATAATTGCTTTGCAGATTGCGTCGTAAATATGGTAGATGACTCAGCGTTATCAGTGAGATATTTTATTGATGTAGCCGCCGCAGAAAAAGGGATTGAGAACAAATGTTGTGCGAGATAAATGTAAATGTTACAACGATAACGGTTGGAGATCCCTCCCGGGAGGCCAAAACTCGGATCAAAACCAGCAACAGTCTGAAAAGGATCATCAGCAGAAGCGACGACAAAAATGGAATGGTGACCCCTTGAACAATCCTTCAAATCGACGTTCCCACCACTCTCTGCAGGTCGTGCTACAGCCGAAAAGACAGGAGCCCTTCCTTCCACAAACGTTCACGAAAAATCGTTCTCAAACAGGAGGGGTCCACGCAACAAGAGACCCCCCCCCCCCCCGTTTCTCGCCTAATTTCCTTCCTGCATCACGATCTCCGTGAATACTTCCTGTGTCTTGCAATCGTGCGCGGTCTAAACGGAGCACACCAAACTGGCTTACGGTGGGAGAAAAGAACAAACCTGCACACATTCAAGAATACCCCCCTCCTATCAGCAGCAAGATGTGTGCCTTGAATGCTCCGGCCCCACGACCAATACCTCTGAATGAAACGACACCTTGAATAGGCTCTTCACTTTCGGTTGAAAGTAAACACCACACACACACACACACCCTCCCTCCCACCCCCTGGCCAACTCACTCAGGTACGCACGTGGCTGTCCTCGCCCTTGGTCCACAAAAGATCTAACGCATAATCAACCAACAAGACTAACCCCTTCCTCCCGGTAGGCGGCAAAGGCAAAACGCTTGAAACACGGATGGATCTCGACTCCACTCCATGAAAGGCCAAAGTCATGGCCCGTTAAACACTGGCTACCGCTCCCCCCTAAACATACACACGCCTCTGCCAAGAGGAGGGTCTGCATTCTATCCTGGAGGCAGGGCTGGTCATGGGGGCCCCGCGAATGCTGCCCACTTGGGGGGGGCAGCGGCGCCTCCGAGCGCCTGCGACATCGATGCAGTTCGTGGGAATCACGCGCGGGGAAATGTTCAAGTGGAGGAGGTGTGGCAAGGGGGGGGAGGTACACACTCGCTGCTTGGAAAAAAAATTAAAGGGCAAGATGAGACTTGTGCCTATCCTACCGTTTGATATGCTTTTTTTCATTCATGCAATATTTTGGCGAAAAAATGTGCACAGTAACACCACCACTTGTCCCCCTTTCTTAAATGTACCTTACATATCGCCTACCCGTGCTTACACAACTTTTTCGACCCCATTTCCCTTGGTGCTTACCAAGCTGTTGCGAAAGGAGACGGGGAGCGCGGGAAGGGGGGAGCGCGGGAGGGGGGGGGGGGGAGCAGTAAACACGGTAGAGCAGTATCAACGTGCCTTGGAGTGCGCTTCACTGACCCCACATCGCCGACGCTTCCAAGAAAGGAAGGGTGATCCACACTTGCAACAACAAAAAACTTTATACGAACCCCTTCGACAGACAGACTGCATTTGTGTATCTCTGGCACCAGATCGACGGCGCAAACCGGCTGATCGATGAAAAGACGCCGCTACTTAGTAATGGCGGCCACCGGGCGGCGACCGCTACCAGCATTCATAAAACTGTTTCGAGTCCGCGGCCCCCCCTAGCAGCGCGGGGTCGTGGGGACAAACAAACGCACGGACCAGCAGCCGGTGCTTGTGCGCATGTCTCCCTTCGTACTTGGTCCTCACCTGAAGGTAGTCCTTGCTCCGCTTCAGCTGTTCCTGGGCCATGGGGCAGGGGCACTCCGAAGCCGCCCGCTCCGCGTCTCGCTGTCATCCGAGTCACAACGACCAACAACGCTCAGCTCGAAAATACCGTGGAGCAAACCGTGGGACGTGGGTGCGCATCGGCAACACAGAAGGAAGGAGCCCGGTTCGCCCTACGAGCACACTAGGCCCGTCCAAACGTTACAATTACTACAGAAGGGGTCCGTCTACCTTTGCATACATTTATGCATACCAGCATTCAAAAAACAGCAGCGGTGGGGGGGGTCAATTGTGCCGGTTGAATAGTCTAGAGAAACAGTTCAGGGCACAAACCGGGGCCCCAAGCAAAATTGGCACTCTTCGGCACACCATTCTGAATACGTGTATGCATAGTAGCAGGCAGTCACCCGCGGTGTACTTAGTGCCGTTGCTTACGACGGGCAGATATTTCGGAGGGGCCCCGCAAGGACATCTAGGGTAGTTTGTTACTGAGGTACTGCTGTACACTGTACTGACCATGCCGCTGTAGCAGTCGCCGAGCCTAAAGCTGGCCACTGACCGGTTGCAGAGGGCGAGGCCGAGAAGTTCTCTCGCCTCCTTGCCCTCGGGGGTCTCGGCTTCCCGCCGCCCTCGCTGCGCCTTGTCTACATGCACCTCCAGCAGCTGCACACCAGAGAGAGAGAGAGAGAGAGAGAGAGAGAGAGAGAGAGAGAGAGAGAGAGACAGACAGACAGAGAGTTAAAAGAGAGAAGAGAGAAGAGAGAAAGAGACAGAGACAGAGACAGAGACAGAGACAGAGAGATGTGCAAACACGAGAGCGGCGGCGCCAAGCGTTACAAGCGTGGGAGGCGGAAATACTATGCGGTGGCAGAGCTATCTTTCGTGCGGTGGCATGTAGTCCCATCACACCCCTCACGCAGGAGGAACAAAAAAAAAAGCGTTTTTTTATCAGAGACTTCTCCTGAACAAACTTAGCAACAACCCGCCGGTTCTGGAGTAATCAGGGCCCTATGGCAGTCAGTCGTGTGCACAAAGCGGGCAAGCAAGACTAGGCCCGTGAGCGCGAAAAAGAGGGGAGGATAAGCACACACATGGAGTATCAGTATTCTTGCGACAAAAGCTAATAGGAAGGGCTAAAACAAAGCATCAACAGAAACGAAAAGGCCTGATTCCACACACAACATGAGACGGTCCGACATCAGACCCGGTTGGAGACAAAAAGAAAAGTGATCCCCCCCCCAAAAAAAGAAGCAACCTCCCTACCTTGACGGCATCGTCGTAGCCGTCCATCGCTAGACGCGCGTCACCGGCGCCGACGAGCTCGAACGACTGCTTGACCAAGGGCCTAGCGCGAGCTAAACAGGAGGCGAGACTGCTCTCCTGTCCGCTGGTCTCCGCCACGAGGGCCAGGTACTGCTTTTCCACCCGCGCCAATCGGCCGAGGCACCTCTCCAGCTGAAAAAATAATCGATCGGGGGATTGGGGGGGAGGGAGGGTGCAGCTTCGTAACTTGGCCATGTACAACAGCGGAACATCATTCCCACAACGCCCAGTCTTACCCAGGGCTGTGCAACAAGATCGTTGTTTAGAGGTTTGCTTCACATCAAAAGGAACCGAAACACGTGCTGTCATATTGACCACCACTTCTGTCCGGAAATATAATGACCATTGTGGCATTCGGATTTGTGTACGAATGGCCCTTATAATGTTGAACAGAGGGGCAAGTTCACCTCGTTCTCGAGACACTCCTGCTGTCTATCAGCGCGGCGTCGGTAAGCCCTGGCCCTCTTCAGGTGCGACAGCATCGTTAGCGTGCCGTTGGGCAGGCTCGAGTCCGCGAAGGCTGGACCGAGCACTTCCACCCCTGTCGCAGCCGCTGACTCGTCGATGATGTCCTCTCCGCGCATGAGGTCGCGGACCTGCCAGCAACGGCAATTTTGATTTCCGAATCATTTGGGAAAATTGAAAAATGAGAGTAGCAGATACCGCCAAACCTTGGGTTTTTGTAGCTGAGGATCGCCGAAGTGTATTCATGTAACTGTTGTCGCCAAGCTCTGCTGCGCATTGATCGCAACGCAAGAACAAGCGCCTTGATCGAAACACAAGAACAAGCTTTCGCCGCACTTGCGATGTGCCTGCCCTGTTCGCATGGCCGCCAAGACCTTCACGTGTATCAGCAGTACTTCTACAGCACAAGTTATACAAGTCATTGGTCGCCTCGCTATTTACTGCCGCTGCCGCCGCACGATATCCGTACCGTACCAGGCTCCAATCGCTTACGCTAGGTTCGCGAAAAAAACACTACCACACGATTCAGAATGAAGAATTGGGTACTGTAATACGAGATCCCGGAGCGTGTATGTGTGTGTTATTTTCCCCTCTTCTTTTCTGCCCACCTCGTCCTCCGCTCGATTTCCGGCCGCCATCGCCTTCGCCGCCGCGCCGCCCTTCCGCCCATCGTAATCGTCGGAACCTGTGCCGTGTTCCGCCGCGTATAAAAAATGCACCACACGAGTGAAAAAAATTACACCGCACGAGTTAAAAATATTACACCGCATGACCGATCCCCCTGGCACGAAAGCCAGTGGTGCATACAGCAAAGACAGTGGTACATACAGCAAGTATCCCGATGTTCCGCGCAAAAAAAAAAACACCGAGAAACCGGTACCCCCGGCAAAAGTCAGCGGTTCAGCAATAAGTGGTCCCGATATACCGCAGTCCCCAATAGCGCGGTTCTCCATACACCGGGGCTAAAAATTTGTCTGTCACTTTCTTTTTTTTTTGTCTTCACTTCAAATCAGCGCTCACAGCACTAGTGCCGTTTCCTCCAACCCGTGGTCACACAGAAGAGACCCTCTCTACCGTCCCCTCCTGCGGTACTTTGCCTTCGATTTTTAATGCGAGAAGAGTTCAGCACTCTCTTCCCTCTGTGTACACACGAACTAGCGCTATCCACTAGGCCAGGAGCGGAAGCGAGAGAAAAACTCACTTTGCAAGAAAAGCTTGCTTACGCCGGGATTCGAACCCCTGACCTGACCTCTAGAAGGTTCCAACTAGAACACCGGGGCGACCGGCGTATCACTGCGTCGCGATAAATCGGGACCACTGCTGTAAAATACTTCAAAGTAAAAACAAACAAGAGAAAATTTTACGGCTTGTCCTCGTCGTCGTGGTGGAAGCGATGGTGTGGTGGTATCTAGAGCATTCTTATGCACAAGCATCGACCCTGACGCTGCTGCTGCTGCTGCTTCATGCACGGCGGTTGGTGCGTCGCTAGGCAGGCGTGCCGCGCACCTGTCACGCCTTCGAGCTCGGTGATGACGGTCTGCAGCTTCTGCGCGATGTTGGGCCCATTGCCGACGGTGCCGCCCTTTCGGGCGCGGCGGTCCCTCTTGCGCGCCTTCGGGTCCAACCCGGCGCCGAGAGGTGGCTGAGTACCACCATGGCACGGCGGCGGCGGCGGCGGCGGCGGCGGCGAAGCAAAATGTTTGCGCGGGCGTACAAGCAAAATAAGAACGAGAGAGAAATGAGGTCAAAACATGAACAAAAACAAAATGTAAGAATAAACGCGACAGGTTATCAGCGCGGGCGGGTGTGATTGCACGCACACACACAGGTAGAGAAGAGGGTGAAACAAACACATTTAAATTGCTTGTGGGTGTGCACGGTAAGGGGCCCGCCGCTTTCATTGTCGGTAACGGCCGACACTTGTAAGACCCTCTCCAACGCACGCCACCGGCAAAGACGTTGTGGTTGCCTCTTTCTCTATGCGCGTCGTTCGACTGCAAACATCATGCTACCGCCGTCGCCACCCCGGGCCGGCGGGGCGACGCATCGCCTCGAATGCCATGTGTGCCGCTGCTGCGTACCACCACCACCACCACCTCCACACAAACTTCTCACGCAGGCGCCTTCCCACCCCCAACATTGTGCTATGCATGCTGTGTGCTGCTGCTGTGTTACCACCACCACCATCATTCCACACAAACCTCAGAGGCAGGCGCAGTCCCGCTGCGGAACGTGACCCCGCCCGCCGTCGCCGCCCCCGCCGCCATCCCGCCACGGCCAGAACCGCTCATGCTGACGCCCGCGGCGGCGGCAGTCGGCGTCGGTGGCGGCGAAGAGCGGCCGACGGGTTTCCCCTCGTCTTCCACCTGCTTGACGTAGGTCTTCGCGAAAGGTTCGAAGCCGGCCTTCACCTTGACCCCTGCAAAAACGGGACGGAAGGGATGAAAACGGAACGCGGCAGACGGGATGGGTGATTGTGGGACGCGTACCGGGGAAGACGGTGGATGGGTTGAACGAGAACTATAGAGGGGTGGTAATTGACGAGACGGAACGGAACAGACGGAACGGAGAAACCGGATATGGCACGGGAACTGGAACTGGAACTGGAACTGGAACCTGTTTCAAGGAACCATTGCTGTTTCGAGGAACACTAACGAACACCAACCGTAGAGGAGTATCAAAATCTTCGGCTTGGAAATGACCAGGGTTCTTCAGGAGTCAAGCAACTCGTCGAATGACCCGGTATATCAGCTCATCCACTACAGGCCATACCCTGATCTGGCATGTGACATTGCTCAGTCCGCCCGGACTCATCTTTGACCGGACGGCCCTAGCATGAAATGGTCCGTCAGTCACGGGTCACAACAAACCGGCTCACGGGAAAAGCCACGGGTAAATATCTGCCCGCTTACAGGTGTGGTCTAAAACGTCGCCAGTGTACAATCAGTTCGTGATACTGTGCGTGAAAACTACGGATCGGAAGTTTTCTGTATGGTCCTGTGTCACGCATCCAGTCCCAGAAAAGACACGACGGAGGTGGCGTTTACACGACCCGTGAATCATATCGATCGATCTACGACCTGATTGCCCCCTGTCTTTAAGACCCGCAAATGTGAAAATGTGCCTGAATAAGTTCTTGAGGTAACGAAAACAACGCTGAAAAACCCATGCTCGCAACTCTACCTAAAGCTGTGTTTTGCCCTACCTCACCAGTCTGCTGACCAATGACAATACTTACTTACGGTAGTCTTCTGTGAGGAAAATGCGTTTTCTAGTCAGCGGGCCCCCGCCAGGGGGGGGGGTGATTGGACGATATGGGTCCAGTCTGCGGCAATGCGTGTCATGTGCCCTACCGGCTACACAACACTGCTGTGGCATCTTGTACGACCGATGGTATGTACATACATGTATGCATACACCTCACAATAGAAAAAACTTTCCTCTCTTGAATCAGAAATAACAAATACTTGCGTCAAAAGAACGCCTCCCCTGAATTGACTGCCTTGACGGCCAGTACGTCGCGCTAACCACAGGAACACCCACTATTGCTACTGCCGTCTAGGCTAACCATGAAGGCCCCCTTCCAACACTCTCTCCGCGCTGCGTTTGTTGAGCACTGCCTTTCTTTCGCCCTATATATCGGTGGAATCCCTTTTGGCGAGCGTGTCCATGTATGCATGTACATGTACTACCTGCAATACCCTTAACAGCAAGCTGTATTATGCCGAAGCTTACAGAACGGGTCCGCAGTAAAGGAACGTCGAAATCGAGTCGAGCCTCAAACCCTTAATTGGGGTCGAAGGACCAGCCGAAGTAATCCACACTAAATATCATGCCACTTACATTGCAAGGTCCCCATTCGGCACGTGGGCGCCAGGTCTCCAAAGGGTGACGCAAGATGATGATACAATATACATACCCGAACGCTTTCATGGATGATGGTTATTGGGGTATCGTTAGGAGTCTCGAGGCAGTGCTGTTTATGTGTGCGCAAAAGGATTCGTGCCAGAGGTCTCGACGCAGTGCGTGTGAGCTGAGAGTTGCCGAAAGGCCTTTCGGCAAGCTGCACAAGAGATGTCGCCAGGCCTTTCGGCAAGCTGCAGGACAGTACAAGAATATCGACTGGATGGACTGCTGACAAAAGGGTTGTACATTCAAAGCCGCGACATCCAGTGCGTGTTGCTGGAAATACCACACATACGTCTACATACCCAGGCACAACACCTGGTATGCGTTCAACAGATCGAATGGATAACACCACCTCGCTAAATTTTCTTACTATTATGCACTACACGGGGAATCAAATATAGACGCACCCATCTAAGACAGCCTAGTAATGAAATTTACTTCGCTCTGAGTACTGTTCTGGTAGAAATCAAAATGCCCGGTTGCCTCTAATAGAATCCTCTATCCCATAAAATATTTTTGAAAGTCCACCCGTTTCAACGAGCGTGCGGCGTATTTACCAAAATTTAACATTTGACATTCAATTCAACAATTTGACTTGCTTTTGCATCGCGCACATGCTCGTACTATGCCCCTGCTATGCGGTACTGGCAAGTGAAACATGGCATTTCACTGGATGTACAGCCGTCGTCGTATCGTGGAGAACGAACGGTGGGAAGGGGGCACTGCTGTTGGGCAGTCACGGTGATGCAGCAAAAAATAACAGTGATCTATGAAGGATTCCCCCCGTCCTTGGTCGAACATGCCTTCTTAAACTGAGACCCAACAGAAAATCGCTGGGCTGGTACATGGCGCTCGTGACCTGACGATCATGGAGTTCGACGCATCGAAACAACCCCATGATTCTACTTGGGTTACAAGGCCCACAGACTTTCTAACCCGAGTAGAATCGTGGGGTCTCTCGACGCGTCGAACTCCATTATGGTCACGTCACGAACACCGGCAACCAGACCAGCGATTTGCTGTTGGTCTCCGTTTAAGAAGGCATGTTCGACCAGGGAAGGGGGGGTATCCTTAATCCATCGCTTTTAGCTGCATCACCGTGACTGCCCAACAGCAGTGCCCCCTTTCCACCGTTCGTTCTCCACGAGATGACGACGGGTGTTCGATGCGGCGAGCTTAGTCCGCATCTGAGCCTGACCCACGTGTCGATCGAACGGTCAGGCCATGACCCATGGAAAGCCCTGAATCCCTACCCCCCCCCCCCCACAAGATGCCGAACACCCTTAGCAGGATGCAGCGCACCCTTCATGCGACTCGCCGAATACCTCACGGCGCTTCGCGCTTGGTGATGTGAGAGCCTGGTCCGGCGAGAACCCGGCGTGCTCAGTCCCGGCTTTGTAGGGGTGCGAGGTCAATGGTCTAACGACTACGGCATGCACGACTATGAGTACCCCCCACCACCACCATCATTAAGCCACCTTTGGCAAAGTAGGAAGGAACGATTGGCCACCGGTGATCGGTCCTGTGGGAACAACCTCCGTCCTCTCGACGACGCGTGACCAATGTTCTAACCGCTAAGGCATGCAAAACATAAAAGAGTACGCCTCCCCCCCCTCCCCCTCCCTCCGACAACAACAATAATCTCACCGCAAGATGTGTGATTTTCAGCGGCCACCCAGTGGCAAAACTCTGGGAAACCATTCGGGAGTTCCTCGATCATGAGAGCCTGGGGAACAGATCTGGAGCCCAACACCTACACAGAGCACGGGTAGAAATAGTAGAATAGTAGACAAGCGCAGAGGGCCCTCGATCAGCGAGTGATTGCAGCACTACGTCGTGAACGAACGCCAGCGCGCTAGACAAATTGGCGGTGGAAAGTAGTAAATCGTAGTAGGCAGGATCAGTAGATTGGTGGGCAGCAGTAGGAGAAAAATAGAGATTTGGAGCCAGCGGTAGCAATCGTAGAGCTGTGCAGCGAAACACACAGGCCTGGTGGAATGGGACAGAAGCCTGTGGCATATAACACTCAATCCGAGCAGAACACAACAAAAAAAGGAAGGAAAACGCGACGACCAACCAGCAAGGGCAACCCGACAACACCGCCCCAATTGGGAGTCAAGCAATCCATGCGCTGGCGCTACACACAGCTGCCTGGCACTCTCGCCACGGTCGCCACCTTTACCAGGACCGCACGTGCCTCCCGGGGTACAACACCACCACAGCAGTCCGAACCACCACCGCCACCACACCTGATCGCTGTACCAGTCCGGAAAGCCCTTGAGCATGTCCTTCGCGAACGACTGCCACTTCTTGAGGGCGGTGAACCCGAGCCGCTCCGCCCCTTCCCTCGACTTGGCGAACGCCGTCCAGAGCGGGGAGACCCCGGAGGTGGCGGCCCCCTTCTTGCCGGCCTTCCCCGCCTTGCTCGACGCAGCCGCCGCCGCCGCCGCCGCCGCGGGCTTGCCGCTCTTCCCCCCCCCGCCGCTGCTAGCCTTGTCGGCTTTCTTGGTCGGCGCCTTCTTCGACTGTTTCGGCGGCCGCGGTATTTCCTCTTCCGCTTCGGATCCGGAATTGTCCCACATGGGCGGGGGGGGCTCCTCCTCGTCCTCTCCCCCCCCATCCTCGTCACCGCTTTCTGCGTCTCCCCCCTCCTCCGAGTCCTCGCTCTCGGTGTCTTCCTCTTCTTCTAGCTCTTCCTCGGCATCGGACTCCCCTGTAGTCAAAAGGTCAAGAGTTTTGTTTGGGAGAGCATGCATGCCTTTGCCGCGCCAGGCACCCCAGGTGTATCTAGTAGGAAAAAAAAGACTAAAATAGGTTCATACGCCTTTGATGCTGACACTCGAGTGTCGACACAAGATGAAAATATGTGATGGGTTCGGATGACTTTCGTCCTGCGCATACATATGCCTGGTTTCTCTCTCGCGGGGCCTCGTCTTGGCGTTGGTTGAACGGCCTCTCTCCTGACAACTGTTGAACTTGACTTGTGGGACGCAGGGACAAACAATAACAGAATGGAGGCGGCCTTCGGGCACACACTTAACAGATCTCTTTGTACTGTTTCGGCCGACCAATCAGCAACGTCGGCGGCGGCGGGTTTCCACGCAGTGTATGCATGTTGTGATGTATTATTGTCCTATCGTGTGGTATATGTTCGGCTCTCGACCCTCACGGCATTCGCTCCAATCAAGCTTCTTCTCGCTGTGTATCGCAACCAGACTTTGTCTGTCTGTCTGTCTGTACCCCTGTCTGCTTGTCCGTCCGCCTGTCTTCCTCAGTCTCAGCCTCTGGGTATGTCTCTCTCTTTCGTATGCAGTGTGCAGCTTCTTCACAATGCCTCTGACGATACTTGTGCTATTCAAATACTGTATGTCGAGCCGGCGTCGTTCGCGAATGCTGCTGCTGCGGGCCTGGGTACTTGGAAAAAGTAGATGTCGTGGGCCCCATCAGGATGGGAACCTCAGTTCCCGAGTGCGGATGATTGCCACCACACTACAGTCGCCAGGTGGAGCTCGACTGCTCTCCCGACCCGGGGGTCACGAGACTGTCAACTGTCACTTATTCATGACGCAACCACGCGTGTCGCTTCCGACGGAACATGAGCAGCTGTACTCTTCGCTATGCTACAACAGGCAACCTCCACGTTGCAACCGACGGCAAAAACCGAACCAAAAAAGGACAAAAAACCGACAAAAATCAGAGTCAATTATGCTCTATGCCCTAAAAGTTGCAACCGACGGCATACACGGAACCAAAAGGATAAAACAAAATAAATAAGAGTCAATTATACCCTAAAAACGAACAAGATACACATTACATCGTTGTAACAATAGGCAACGAGCACGACGTATGTACATCATCCCCGAAAAATCACGGCAGTGGTATTACCTTGAAGCGGAGGCGGGCCATCATCAGCCATGACTTTTTGCTATACTTGCTGCTGCTGGGTCTTTGGTTTCGCTCCCTAAGGCCTCAGCCCCTTCACGAGACAAAAAACGAGGACGGCAAAAAGTGAGGGAACAGCGGGCGGTGTGAGGAGACGTTTGAAAAAATACAGCACTTCCACCGACAGGCCAATAAACCATTCCGCCCCCCTCTGCGTGTCAAAATGGTAGCAACGTTATCCTCCGCTTGACGGCAGAGTGGAGAGTGCCCCCCCCGGTTCTCTATATCATGGCGGGAGATTTTTATACACGCTATGTAGACAGACTACATACTCGCTGCATGTTGTCGGTATGTAGACAGACTTTGATATACTTGGACTTGTTTGGGCTCTTTGGACGGACCTACACAGGGGGGGGGGGGGTGTACTCATGTTTTGCATGCACTGCCGGTTAGACCATTGACCACGCGTCAGAGGACGGAGTACGGGGGAGGGAAAAGAAGCGGAACATAATATCTGCATCGCCGACCACAGTATGAACGTATAAACCCACACCAAGAGTATCACAAGACTGTCTAAGTTAAAAGAAGGCGTTGGGAGGCATGTTCTTGGCGGCCAAATACGTTGGCGAGGCTGTGGGTACCTGTCTGCGCCTCTGGTGGCAGACAAATCCCATCCTTGTGTGGGAGGCGCCTATTAATAACATCATGGCGGCGATGGAACCGTCTCGTCGAGAGCATTCCGGAAACGGAAAATTTGATGATGGCATTCTCTTCGTCATAGCGCAATCGAGCTTTTCAAAATCGGCCCAGGGGGTGCGGCATCTAATGTATTTTCAGGCGGAACGATTAACTCGAGGGCGGGCGTGACGGGATGCAACAACCCTCCCACGGCCCTACTACTTATTGCAAACGTGACAGGTCCTTCCCCCCAAGACACCCACCGACGGTACGACCGCCAGTTCGATTCGAGGATAGCGGCCAAAGGTAAGGATGGGAAACGCTTCATCTGCTGTATCCCCCCCCCGTTCGCGAACACATCAACCACCCTAATCTAGTCACTGCTTAGGCGTGAGACAAGTCGGGAAAAGATGCGACCAAAAGGCAGGCAGCGTTTTCGTCTGTCCAAGCCGCACCTGGCTACTGCTGTAGGTTGCACAAGATACCACACCCCCGGGACCGATTTTCAAAGCGCGATTACTCCACCAGGAAGAGTATGCCAAACTCAATAACACGTTTTCGGAAAGCTGTCGACGAGACGGTTCCGACCCCGCCATTTTCGGCACCGTTAACTGCTGCTTCTACCGAGTAATCGAGCTTTGAAAATCGGTCCAGGGGGTGTGATATCTTACGCAACCCACGGTACGCGAAAGAAAGATGGGGCACCCAAGAAAGCAGCAAGGCACGGTGAGGTAGGTCACCACTGGAGGGGTCACTGGATATTGTACATCCATACGCGCACGTGTAATAAAACACACCCTCGACAGGCACCACAAGCACGCGCAACGACAGATGCGTACTACCCACGCCGTTCCCAGCACCCGAATACGCGATTACACGTCGTAGTTTGCATGTACTCCGAGTAAACAACAACGGCACGTACCAGGACGGCTGGTGGCGGCACACATGTTCTGCGACGGAAGGAGGGTGCAGCTGCCCGGAGGCGGTTTGCGTCGGGATACAAGTAGAGCGGAGAGGCCTGGCATAGACACCCATGAGCCGTGTGTGTCAACGCCGAACAAGCCACCCGTTGTACTACAAGATACAGCGGTAGCCAAGTGCCGTGCTTGTTCTCCCAAGCCTAAACATGTTTGAACACTTCCAACCCATGGCAGTGTATGTACTACCGCGGGGTTCGCAGCTGGATTGGTTCGCGGTGAAACTAAGGTGGAGCAATCGTGTCTCTCCGTGGGTCTCTCTCTCTCTGGTAGACTCAAGCACCCACAGCAGTGAGTGCAAGAGACATGGCATCTGGAAAGAGTTGCATGTATTATCAGGGGACGTGATGAAGCGAGAAGGTCGCCCGTTTCGAACAAGTGAAGGGGCAATCTTGTCACGCAAACCATCTCTCAGGCCAAACAGAAATCTGTGCGGGCAATAGATCAAGCATGTATTTGGTAGTAGTCGCTGGTTTCATGATACGGAACAACGGGCGCGCTAGTTGCAACGGCAGCTACAGACACATCGCTCTTTGGGGGACTGAGATTACGAGATAGGGTAACCTCGACCCATCCAAAAGGGCACAAGCTTACTTGTCGCCTACACAAGGAAACAGGAAGAAGCCTGAGGAGGGGTAAACATTTCAACGTGCCCTCACCGCTTCCTCTGGTGTACTCGACCTCCTCTTTCTCTGCCACTGCCTCACCTCCTCTCTGATCTATCTATCTTCCGCGCGGTGTTCTGGCTCTCGGCTCCCCCGGCTCTCCGGGACCGTGAGGCGGTCCGCAGACGAGAATCGTGCGGAGGTTGCTCAAAGTACAATCTGCAGGTCCCCCCTAGAGGCAGTCCGGCAGTCGATTGTGTCTCAACACAGGTCAGTTAGATGGATGTGCGAGCCTTGTGCTCTGCTCTGAGCAGCTGCCGCGCAGTCGGCGCAGGGCGGCTGCAGTGAAATTCTCTTCGCTTAAAGTACAGGCCAGAAATACGGCCGGTATTTGGACAAGGCGGTCCCAAAATCACGACGACTACCGCTGAGCAGAACCGTGTACAATATATACACACCATCCGTGGGCATCATGCCATCGTCTGTACGAGTCCGGGTGGTGGAGGCGAGGGATCTGCCGGAGATGGACCGCACCGTCAGGGGGGAGTTCTGCACAGATGCTTACGTGGACATCAAGTTCCGCAACTATGAGCAGGTACTAGATGAATATTCCTACGGTAGTAGAAGCTACTCTGCATGCGTGCACCATCTTTGCCGTTCGAATATATTATACCACCTAGAGAACCGCACCGTACATATGTCGCGAACGTCTGAAACACCCCAACATGTAGTAACACGGGGCAGTGGCAGCATGCCAACAGCGCGTACAACTACACACGGAGCACGGTGCCTAATGCTCTGGTCTAACGGCCGAGTGGCAGTTTACAGCAGTGGAGATGATGTTCTGTGTTTGGTCGAGAGGCAAGTTGATGTAGAGGAGCATCAGTCTTACTTTCCTTCTCTGTACCGGGTTCCTCCCACGGTACTGTACAAAGGCGAATATTTTTTCTGGGTGGAAACTGCTTTTACTGGCTAACCTGCGCGTTGCTGATGTTGTGTACGCCCGAACGTATGAGAGGGCTCTTAGTCCTTATTGCTGTAATATGCATCACTAACGGTAGATCGCGTAAGATACCACACCCCGTTGACCCAATTTCAAAGCTTGATTACTCCACGGCGACGAGGATGCCACATGTTTAGGGTGTCGGCGCGTGTACTTCGTTGTCACGCTCGCGGGCTCTTGTCGAGAGCGTTTCTGCACTAAAGGATGACTCAAGTTCCTTGTAATAACGAGTGAGATACAGGGCAGGCAAGAAGAGCCTAGCGATGGGTATGGGTATGATGAACTTGACGCGCTAGGCCCTAGCGCGTCAAGTCCATCATACCCATACCCATCACATCTGCGTAACCCCCCCGGAGATCTCGGAGATATGTATCCTGCCCAGTACACACATCAAACGCCAAATTCATATCACATGTTTTCGGAACGCTCTAGACGAAACTCTTCCAACCCCGCCTTCTTCGGGACGGTCGCTGTTTTTGCTGGGGAGTAGTTCGAGGTTTGAAAATCGGATCCCCCCTCTCGCAACCGCCGATACTGCCCCGATATATGCACACCTCCCCTCTGTTTGATTGCAGCGGACGGCTGTGTGCAAGAAGACCTTAAATCCGTACTGGGGGGAGGAGTTCAAGTTCGAGGTGGCCGACGACTCGGTCCTACAGAACGAACCCATCGAGTTCAAGGTGCGAATTTGTGTGAAAGGAGATCAATTTATACACGGAACCCCTAGTTTTACCCCCCCCCGCCCACTATTGAGCTAGCTGCGCCTCCCCTCACCCACCCCCCAACGACTCTTTATGGCTCATTGTGAAATAGGAATGAAGGTTCGCCCGGGACTACTCATATTGTGCGAACGCAACCAAGTCAACCCACCCCCTGCTAGACTCAACCACGGGGCCACCTATTCTCATATGTTGTGCCGCTTGTCTGTTGTCGCGATGCACGTATGTCACCATTGAAGTGGAGTCATTGGCGTCGTGGACTTGGTTGTTTCACTTTTCCTTCGAACTAGCTAGTGTTTAGCCCCGATACCGCGGAGTCGTTTGGACGAAATCCGCAGACACAACACTTTTGGCAGTGACGCATGTGTCCAATGAGAGAAGTATATAGTTCGGCACCGCCGTATCCCCTTTTTTTCTCTATGCCTAGTTGCTATTATTCCAAAATTTGACCGTAGTTCTAAAGTGCTGCTTGTTATCCCTAACCGTATGCCCTTTGGAGCCCTTTGGAGACCATGCTTCTCGTTATTTGAGTCAGCTGTTGAGTGTCCGACTTCACCTCAACAGCATGTAGTTCCTCGAACCACGGCAGCCCAGACGTGTCTGTATCTTCCCCAGCCAGCGACTAGAACTTGAAAATAGTCCATGAAATGCAATGGCATGCCGTTGGCGTTCACAGGCGGGGTCTGGCATTGGGCACAAGTCATGCAAGCTACAATTGTTAATTGGCACGTAGGAACCGGGCCGGAAGGACTGGTGCACGGCAGCTTGTCTCCCATCACTCACTATTTCTCTTCGAGAGAACCAAATACAGAAAGAAGGCACGTAGCGAAAAAGCAGGGCGGCTTTCGTTTGAAGGGTTGCTTGGTCTCAAAAACGAACAAATGTTCCAGTCATCCCACAAAAAGTTGGTTGCTCGAGGATGCTGGCTGCCTTACTCAGCCGAAAAATACCGTGTTGTCGTCGATGCGTGCACCAGGTGATGGACCACGACGTGTACACCACCAACGACGCCATCGGCTTGGTCTACGTGGACCTCAGCCCCCTCTTCATGCGCACCGCGGAGCGGGACCAGGAGAGCCGGGACCTTACGGTGCAGGGCTGGTTCCCGCTGTACGACACGCTTCGAGGCGTGCGCGGCGCTCTCTGCCTCGTCATCAAGGTGCGCCCCCTGCCTGCCGCAACGAGATGAACGGGGCCATCTCTTGCCTTCAAACATCGATGTATATCTTGATCTCGTTGATTTTGCGGCACATTGCTTTCGGGTGTTTGGAGGTTGGGCCGCACCTTGTTTGGTACGTGTCCTACCTGCCGCAACGAGATGAACGGACAAACGGGTTATTATATCGTACCTTCAAACGCCCGTACCTTCATCTCGTAATTTTTTTCGGCAGAGCGTTTTCGGATATGTTGGTCGGTAACTTATTTGGGGAGACCCCCGTGCAACGTTGTTTCGAATAACCATCGCACACGGTCGATCCCTGTTTTGGCACTCACTTGCTTTGGCACCCACTCTGTGTCCTTTTCTCACGTCTTGGGCTTCTTTCTCTCTCTCCTCCCGCCACACCACGAAAGGTGCGGTTTATTGGGGATCAGAACCCTTTCAGGGAGTCTTCCGCCGGGGTGCAGTTCTTCGGAGTGTCCACCCTTAACCCGGAGCTGTACACCGTGCAGAAAGGTGAACGCCCGACTTCGCCCGACTTCGTCGTGGTGGTGGTGTTGTTGTTGTTGTTGTTGTGGTTTTTGTTGTTGTTGTTGATATTGTTGTTATTGTTGCTGTTGTTGCTATTGTTGTTGAGCGCCACCAGAATGGGGTGGAACAGATGGTATTCTTCGATATGCCACCCGCTTGATCGGCTCATGAGTATTGTGTGTGCCTGGTGATTCATTTTATGTCACGGTGCTTTCGTCATCGTCGATTTCCCATCAAAAGTGGTGGGTCTTGTGGACGAGCTGGTAGTGGACAATGACCCGGAGTACCAGTGGATGGACAACTTTCGCCAGGCGCGCACGAGCAACGAGAGCCGCCAGAGCCTGCTGTACAAGCTCGACGCCACCGTCCGCCGACAACTAGGGAAGAAGGTAAGTTGCGTTTCGGGGGGGCGAGGACTACGGATGGTGGGAATGAAGGGGCGTAACCCCCCCCCCCCCACTCTCTCCCGCGCACGTCGTTCTACAGTCTGTTGTTGGTTGTGTTGTTCTGTTCTATTAGCGTCTGCCTTTTCTTCGTGCCGCAGCCGCCGTCCCTCCCTTGTCCAAATGACAGGCTTTTGGCTCCCAGATTCCACGCGGCAGTGTTTCTTTCGCTTGCAGGCAGTTTGTTTTTTAGCAATCGGACTGTTTTGGCGGCTCCCTGCCTTGTTCTGCCTACTAGTCTTGCCGCTGGTCGCAGTGCTGCTTCTGTTGCTGCAGCAGCAGCAGATGACGATGATGATGATGATGAGATTGCTCTTGCCTGCCCTGTAACCATTTGCAATGGTTCCTCCTTGCTGCCTCACTTCACGACACAGGTGCTAGATCTCGGGTGCAACGCGGTGCTGGCCTACCAGCAGGACTTCGACGTCGAGGGAGACAGCGGGATCGTGGCTCGGGCATACGGCACCGCCTGCGTCATACAGCGGCGAGAGCAGCACTCTGACATCACCAAGGCCAGCGAACTCTCTCACACTCGCCAGGTATCGATCTCTCCCAACCATTGTGGTTTGTACCTACATTGTGTGGTACACGGTAGGTCAGTTGTTGTTGTTGTTGTTGTTGTTGTTGTTGTTGTTGCTGCTGTCGCTGTTGTCGTTGTCATTGTTGTTGTTTGTGTTGCGGGTGCTGTCGTCGTCGACGTCGTCGCTGCCATTGTTCAGTCAGAGCCGACGCGTGTTCCCCCAAAGGTCTTGCGGCTCCGAACGCCTTCTCTCCACTAGCTACGCTTCTCGTTCGTGAGAGGTTCTCTTCCGTTCTCCTCTTGAGCGTTTTCGCGGCTAGCTTTTCATCACCGAAATTCTCAAGCACGACACAACCCCCGTCTTTTTGCGCGATTCAAATTATTGAGGCTGTCTCAGGTGTTGCGGTGGCTGTCCTGCCCACCCAACGGCCTGCTCGCTGGTCTCTCTGTCGCTTTTCGGACGAGTTAGCCGTACGACAAACACTTCGTTCAGGCAGTCGCTGTTTGTTTCGTCACTCCCACATTTGTGCAGGCATGAGCAACATTTCTCTGAGTTCGTGCTATTAATTTTCAATCCTGTCTCATGTGCGCAGCTATCCGCAGGACACGGGGGGGACGGCGTTGGTCTATCCCCGGGCAGGCGTTTTCATGGTGCCGGAGGAGGAGGAGGAGGAGGAGGCACAGGCTTCGTCCAAGACTCGGGTTTCTCCCCCGTGGTGTGTGTTCGACGCACGCTTTGCTGTATGCGGCTGCTGCTCGTACTTGTTGGTCTTGAAGTTATAACGTGGTACAAAAACGTCATGGAGAGACTGTACTGTACTCGGTACAAGTTGTACGTGGTGCTTCAACATCAAAGAAAGACCGCTGTCCGTCTGAGACAAGGCCCCGTTCGAAGGGATGTGTGCGTTAGGACACCGGTCGGTGCGTGACCGCTTTCCTTGCGACAAGACCTGGAGCCCGGTCGTGAGTAGGGTGTGAGGCTCATTAATGAGGGTCTCTGTGCGAGACGGGTCGGAGAGCCAAGTGCCGTGCTGCTGTTTGATAGGTGGAACGTACCTCGGTGTCAAGCTGAGCCATACCGCCGTATCGATTGGTGATTTGGGTGCGGCAACTCTTGGCCCCTTTCAAGCTGCTTGCACCCGTATGACAGCACCAACACCGAACTTCGTCATCTTGGTGCCTGCTTCAAGTCATGGGCATGGCTTTCCCATCCCTTTTGCACCGTTCTTCCCGCACACAGATACATACCGCCGTGTACCCCCCCCCCCGATTCTTAGTCAAGGAGCACATGTGCGACATAATTGAGGTGATCAGCGACACCAAATTCAACGAAAGCATGTGGATAAGGGTACCAGGGGAACGGGGAAGAAAGGACTTGTTCGTAGGAAATGTATATATGCCACCAGAGTCGAAGAATATGGTGAAAGACATCAGGATAGGTTTCGAGGAGGTAGCAGCGGATGTACAAAACTTCAAGAGAAAGGGAGAAGTAGTTCTAGTTGGGGACTTCAATTCAAGAATCGGGCGAACCACGAACCCACACGGAACCATAGGGCAATACGGGGAGGGAGCCACGAACAAAAACGGGGAAGAAATGCTGAGGTTCCTTGACAGTAGCGAGATGAAGGTGTTGAACGGTAGAGTACGAAAGACAGAACCGGAATGGACTAGGCAATGTTTCAAAAAAGGAGAACGCTCCATCCTTGACTATATAGTCGTAGAGAATGGGGGGAAAGAGACGGAAGTACGAGTATGCACAACGGATGTAGGCACTACAGACCACGCGTTGGTGTGGACAGCCCTACAACAGAAGAGAGTCATACAGAGTAGGCGACGCAGGAAAATGTACAGATGGAGAATAGATAAGCTAGAAGTAGAAGAAACGAGGGTAGAGTTCCAAGAAGAGATGGCTATAAACGACAAGAAACTCTCGGAGTTGATGGAGGCAATGGGTACACCGAAGGATGCCGAAGGCCGGGACCAGGCCGGGTCTAGAATCATAGAAGAGTGGGAAGAGCTGGTAAACACAACAGCAAGCAGAGTTCTAGGTAGAAAGTTGATAGTTTGTAAGAGAGCAGTGAAGTGGTGGGACGAAGAAATCAAGCAAGCAATTCGAGTACGTAGAGAGTCACACGCAAAATATGCGGCCGGGAAAACAGATGCAGGATGGAAGGAGTATGTTGAAAGTAGAAAGAGGGTGAAGGAGTTGGTCGTGAAGAAGAAGAAAGGGTTGTGGGAGGAAGTAGTCCAAAAGACTAACGAAGATTTTGAGGGGGGGGATGAAGCAAATGTGGGTAGGAATTCAAGGGATAGTGGGCAACAAAAGAGGGGGAGACACGGAAATAACGACACTAAGATCTGCCGAGGGTAAGATGGTAAGCAGTTCTAAAGGAAAGAGGGAAGTACTAGTAGAGCACTACCGCAAACTTGGGACACCCACCACCAACGACAACTTCGACTCGGAGTTTGAGAAGGAAATCAACTCGTGGGCAGAGGAAAACGTTGAAAGATCTCAGAGGGAACGTAGTGATGTAGACGGGTTGCAGGGAGAGTTCACACGAGAAGAGGTAGAGGACTGCGTAGCGAAACTCAAGAATAGAAAAGCGGCAGGGGCTGACGGAATTGTGAACGAGCTTTTGAAACAGGGGGGGGAGGGGATGATTAACATGTTGGTCCGGATATTCAACTGGATATGGAAACACGAGTACGCGCCGAAGAGATGGAGAGAAGGAGTAGTCGTGAACCTGTTCAAAAAGGGGGATAAAGCTGAGCCGGGGAATTATAGAGGGATAACCCTGTTGAGCACAGTGGGGAAACTGTTTGGCAAGATGATAGACAATAGAATGGGAGACATGTTGGAGGGGAAACAAAAGATCAGCGAAGGACAAGCTGGATTTAGACCAGATCGTAGTTGTGTAGACCATGTATATACGTTGAGTAAAATCATCCAAGGTAGGAAAGACGCCGGGTGTACGACATACTGTTTCTTCCTCGATATACAAAAAGCCTACGACACCGTATGGCGCAATGGATTGTGGAAAAAGATGTGGGACATCGGCATCCGGGGGAAAATGTGGAGGATGTTGAAAAAGATGACAGAATGCACAAGAAGTGCGGTGATGTTGGATGGGGAAATTTCGAAGTACGTGGATATACTCCAAGGAGTCGCACAGGGCTGTACGATGTCACCCACTCTTTTTAAGATTTACATCAACGATTTGATAAGGGCGGTTGAAGCAGTAAGACAGGGAGTCCAAGTAGAGGGAAAGAGTGTGTCCGGACTGATGTTTGCAGATGATTTCGTGGGGGTATCCGAAACACCAGAAGGGTTGCAAGAACAAATAGATGCGGCGGTAGGATACACCCGAAAATGGAGACTGTCGGCGAACGTAGGAAAATGCGCAGTAGTGGTCTGTAACGAAGATAAGAAAAATCCCGTACAATTCAAATGGAAATGGGGGGAGGAAGAACTACCGGTAGTAGACAAGTATACGTACCTGGGAGTAGAGATTTCGAAGGAGTGCTCATGGGACGCACACATAGCGAAGTTGATTGGGAAGAGTAAAGCTCAGATAGGCAAGATGGACGAGATCCTTACGGACCCACACCTAGACACTAGGATTAAGAGGTGTATTCTCTTGAATGTGATTGTACCTAAGCTAGAGTATGCAGGAGAGATATGGGAAGGTAACGAAAAGGCCGTCAAGCAGCTGGAAACGGTGCAGATGGCAGCGGCCAAGAAAATACTAGGATGTTCAAGTACAACGAGCAACACTGTATTGAGAGCAGAATTGGGAATGTACTCTCTTAAAACAAAGAGAGACATGCAGAAGTTGAATTGGCAGTACAAGGTAAGTAGAATGTCGGACGATAGACTACCAGCCATGGTTGACGAG